AGGTTTCAAACTGTTACTTGAAGTTTTTGGTGTTATGCATGGACCACAGGAAAGGTGTGTTAAAGTCCTGAAGAATGGCAATTTGGTGGCCATCTCACCAGGTGGAGTTCGAGAAGCCCTCTTCAGTGATGAAACATACGTTCTCATGTGGGGTAATCGTAGAGGCTTTGCTCAGGTGGCTATTGATGCAGAAGCGGTGAGTGTGCATGGAGGATCACAAAACAGAAGCAAGGAATGTAAAATATTATGACTTTCTTTGAGAGACCTGTGCTGAGCAAAATGGTGCTATTTATAAGGTTATAAAAGGATTGTAAAATATACTCTTCCCTCAGCTATTTATAACTAAAATGTAACATTCTCTGTCTTTCCCTTGCTTGGCTTTTGATCAGAGGGATGCATAACTGTCAAACTGATATTTGTAGACCAACATGTAAATGAGGTGTGCAGCCAACTTAGATTGGGAGTACAGGCACACTACCAACTTCTGCAATCTAGCTACATCAGGAATAGGATGAAGGTGCCATTTCTGATTGACAGCTGTACAGACAGAAGCCAGTAGTGTAGACATAACCACACATGCAAAATGCATCTTGGCGGTAAGTGTTGTTTTGCACGCACTCTGCAGCTTTGCCAATATAGCTTTAATCGTGTTAGGACTGCTCTGACACTGCAGAGGTAGAGGAACTGCTTGAGGAGCTGAGAGAGGAACACTACTAAAATCCTTACAGTGCAGAAATGTAATAAGGAGGTAAATGCCTCAGAAACCCTGTATTTATCCCTGTGATATTATAGATTATGAATGCATTTTGTTATTAGTTAGATTTATTTTCCCATGTTTTATGTGTGTGTACATATACACACTTGAAAAAAAGATTCTGTTCCTGTACAAACATTCAGATTATTCAGAAGCACAATTTATGCAAAGTGTAAGAATAATTACAGCAAAACTGTACCCCAAAATTAAAACTTTTTTGAAGTAGAAAAATATGTAGTTTATTGATGTGGGGTCATCCATCAAGTGTTATCGGGTTGACATAATTATTTGTAGGATCAACACAGTGCTAGATAAATGTTTGTCCAAATTGTAAATGTTTAAATTATTCCTTGGGGGCAGTGCTTTTTCACCCTACATTCGTATAGCATTTGGATGTATTATTTCATTGGACCAGGACAGACTAGGCTTTTTCCCAGGGAGTGGCTGAAGCCTGTTCAGTGGGGTGGCTTATTTGGTACTTCTGTGCTCCTCAAAGTCAGTGTTTTATGGACAGAAGGGTATGTTGTCAACTTAATGTCAGCAAGGTGAGGGAGCAATTTGAAAAGAACCAATCAGATCTTCCTAGCAAAAGTGAGAAAAGGATCAATGTCTTGCAGCAGAGTTGTTAAACGAAGTCTTCAGAACTGCCTCGTGTTTTATACTCCTAAAACAAGCCAGAGATGGTTTAGCTCTCTAGCTGATAAGCTTGTATGTAGCAGTCCATCTCTTTTTTTGAGCTGTATGGATTTAGGAGTGACTGGATTTCAAAACTAACAGATGAAGGTTGAGGCTGAGCAGTATATGTGCTTATACATAAGAAGAGCTTTCCACCCCAGCCCTCATCAGTTTAGCACCTTCTTGATCTGCAGGTTTTTTTTAAGTCAGTTTGGTGTTCCAAAGCAAGCTGAGCTATCTTCTAAATCTTAAAAATTAAATTACATTATGGTATTATATTTAAATGTTCAGGTAAAAAAATATTAACAATACAGTAAATGTAAAATCTTAAATGTTTTCTTCTTGCATATCCTGTGATAGACTGTAATGTGAGCACATAATGCATCATCTGTAACTTGGGTATATGTATCTAGCTTCTTGCTACACATGACTTTCATAAGCTTACACAAAGGCCATGTCGAGACTGCAAATCTGTGATGCTGATTGTAAGCTGCTGTGGGTGGCTTCTAGGCAGATCACAGCCAGACATGTTTGGTCATGCCAGCAGAGCTGGCAACTTCTCCTTTTGCTGCTGGCTTTGACTAAGGACCCACTGTTTAGGGCCCTTGCCTGTTGCTGCAGCAGAGCTAGCACATAACAGGAGGCTACCCAGGGCTTGTTAGAAATGCAAAATAAGCAAACAAAGTTAAACAAATAAACTGTCACTTAGCTCTCAGCAACCTTCTGGTTGCCTATTATCTTTCAGAGGCTTTGAACAGCCTGGGTGTGGTTTGTTTGTTTGTTTGAACAAGCAAGCAAACAAATAGAGGAGAAGCCCTGCTCTTGATCCCTCCTGGCAGCTGCTTAGCCCCTGGTAACCCCAGGCTCCAGGCAGCCTGCTCCCTGCAGGTACAGCCCCTGAGGCTGCTTTCAGTGTTTTATCCCGCCCCCACCTTCCCTGGTCCATGTGGCTGGCTCTTCCTCATTCACCCTACATGTTAGCTCCCTTTCCGGGAGGCTCACTGCATCCCAGGCCCTGGATTCTCAGCCTTCCCTGAGTCGTTGCAGGTCTGGGTGGGTGTGGGGAAGTGCTCTCAGGGTGTGGAGCTGTTCAGGCTCCCCTGCACCCATAGTAACAGTTTAGCCCTGTTACCTGGTCAGTAGTGTTATCAAATTTGCCATTCTGCTCTGCATGGTCCCTAGCTGGAAGCTATGTAGCTGCATCTGCCAAGCATCAAGGCCAGGCACTGTGGTGTCAGATAGTCTGTCATCATGTTACATCAGTGGTCTCCAACCTTTTTATGGTGAGGATCAGTTTTTGAAAGTAAAGGGCACCCCAGGATCTACCATGTCCCCAATCCCGCCCCTGGGCCGGCGAGGGGCTGAGGCTTAGCTGGGAAAAAAATGAGAAATAACAGTTCGAGTTTATAAGGAGGCTGCTGCTGCAGGCTTCCTGTTGTGCCTAGAGCACAAGTGGTGGGGAGGGCATGGGCCTCCGAGGTCTCAACTGGGCTACACCCAGCAGCAGGAGCCCCCCCCAACACGCTTCTGGGTGACAGAGAATCCCAGACCTGCCTGGGCTAGAGCCTGATTCCTTTGGCTGCCAGGCAGGTGCAGCTCAGCCCAGCGGTGGCAGAGAATTGGGGTCAGGCCCCCATCTGGGACTCTCTGCCACTGGAGCACATGGAGGGGGGCTCCTGCCTCTGGGGACAGCCCAGCAGGTGCCCTGGGGGCCTGTGGCCCACCCCACCTGCTCTCTGGGTGCAGCAGGCAGTCCAAAGCAACAGCCGCCTCATCCCAGAGCATAGGGAGCAAGGCATGGGCCTCCAGAGTACAGGTTGTGGGGGCCCAGGCCCCTGAGGGCTTTGCCACCCAGGTGCATGTTTGGGGTGGGGAGGGGGCTCCTGCCACTAGGTACAGCCCGCCAGAGACCTCAATGGGGCCCGTGCTCCCTCCCACTTGTGCTCCGGGCACAGCAGGCAGCTCCCAGCAGCAGCTGGTTTCCACTGGAGCAAAGGTGGTGGGGCACAGGCCCCAGGAGCCCCCGCCGGGCTGTGCCCAATGGCAGGAGTGCCCCCCCCCCCCCCATGACCCCCTGGGCAGCGGAGAGCCCCACCCCAGCGCCA